TCTCTTAATTAAAAGAATAAAAAGGCAAACAGGACGCTCAAAATGTTATCGCAAGACGAGATTCGAAACCCCTAACCCATATAGGGCAAAAAAAGATAATAATTAACAACTATTCACCGAGGTGGAGGTGGTTAGTGGTGGATATTTACCGGGCCGCGAAGCGGCGAGGTAAATATCCACCGCTAACCACCGACACTGAAGTGAATAGTTGTTTCAGTATAAAAGGTCACCCACACTTTGATAAATAAGTAGATTCGTGTGGTGCAGGTAAGAACTTGTTTGTCATTTACAATTGTGTTTAAAAGTGTCTCACATATTCCGTCATGGTGGATTGCCAATTTCTTCAAATTCATAATAACAAGAGCCTCATTATTGCTAACACCGAGGCAGATAATGGACATCGCTCTCCGGGTCTGTATACGTTCCAGCTCTTGCATTGAATATTTAGCCAAACTGAAATGAAAGGCCGGAACTACATAGTCCAAAATTGATCTAATACAACTAGAGTAGAAGAGCCCTAAATCACTGCGAGTAACCGTAGCTCTCTTAAGTTGCACCAATATAATATAGTCTCTCAGTTAGATGCCTTCTTAAGAATTTCATTAATTTGAATATTCCAGGTCAAATCACTGGAAATGTTGATACCCAAATTGAATCTTAAAATATTCTGGGGCATAATTATATGACGTTTTGTACATCAAAATAGGTTTACTGATAACACGTTCATGATTCAGGTTTCTCCATCCCAAACCATTTCACCTGATTTCAAAGTCTAGGTAAAGAGCATGAAGAACATCCACTGYAGCAATATTCATGAGGGTTTTAAAACTTGCTTGCACCTGTACGAACAAGCTTGTAATGGCTTTGTAAAGGTAAAATTTGCAAACTCTACCCCTTTTGCTGGTTGACATGATTTCTAAAACCTACAATTTTATTGCTTGCTCGGACAGGTATTGCCAGCAGGCATTATGGGATTGATTGTGGCGACCAGGACCAGACGCTCCTTGATTCTGGTGAGAATGATTACCGACTGAAATTTATGAGATTATTAATGTGAAGAGAAAATATTAAAATAACGTCTTACTTTTGCGTGACATTAAACAAGTATTCGCTGACTAACAGGTTAATTTCCAGTACTGGTAAGATAATGTCCAACAGGTAAGGTATATTTGAAGCTCAGAAAATAATTGCTATCTCTAATTTTACTATTTCAGATAAACTGGCTCAGTACAATTAGTATTGCTTCTGTTGTGGTTTGTGCAGTGGTACTTGAAAGCTATTCATGGGCTTTGAGAGATATATTATCGTTCAAATATTTTGGTTATCGTCAAAGAAACGCAAAAATCAAGTTTGAAGACCAAGAGAATACTATGATAGCCATTCATGTCTTGATTGTCATATTTGCCATCGCTGAGATCATTCTCGCCGTGGCGATGGCTCGGATCAGTGATGGTGGGCGTCAGTCACCGCAGGAAAATCAGGTATGTTGCGTTACTTGGGAAAAAATCATTTATCGAATATGGCATTGAAGTCTAGAAAGGCATGCGGAAATCCTATCTCATTTCTTCTTTCTTCCGTCCTTACTCCTTCTCCTCTTTGTTGTATTTTGCTTTTGCACGACTTCCTTCACCTTCCTTCGTCTCACCTTCTCTCCCTTTCTCATTCTCTCCATCCCTTCTTTTCTCTCCTCCCCTTCCTTCCTCCCTTTCGCTTTGCATTCCTAACTCACCTTTTCCCTCTCTTTTCTCCCCTCCCTTCCATCTCCCTCCATTCCTCCCTCCCTTTTCTCCTCCTTCCATAGCTCCATAAAGACCCTCCTTACTTCCTGTCTCGCTC